CACTCTCAGTGCCAGGAGTGAGACACTGTGCTCTGAAAATATGGCACACTGTGTGAGAAGCTGCTGAATCGTGGAAGTAAAACACCCAACACTTCAGGAAATCAGGAGACAGAGTTTGGTCTTAGTTTTGTAAGGAAGCGCTTCATTGAGGTGGGGAGGAAGATTTGTGAGTGTTTTAATCCCAATCAAAAACGCTTTTACTTTTCCTCCCATTTCAGGGAATGAAATAGCTATTTTTTTCCAAAGTCATTGGGTGTTTATATTTTTTGTTGTTAATTATGATAGTGAAGCCTAGTGGATGTATCGATGGTATGGAGAAGATGTCGCCCCCTGCTTTTTCCTTCAAAAGTGTATTTTGTTGCAGGTTCCCTCTTTGGGAAAATTGGAATGATTTGGGGTTAACAGAATTTTTGTTGTGGTTGGTGTTCTTTTACAAATAAATCAATAAAAGGGGGGATTAGATCCTCAGCTGGGTTTTGTCCTGATCTAGAGTCTTCCTCTTTCTCTATCAAGGTACCATTTGTTGTTGAGAACCATCACAAAAACTCACGGCATCTAGCATATCCAGAGAAATCTCATGTTGGAAAGCTTCACCCCATATTCAATCCCTGCCTTCTTCAGGTAGGACTGGTAGAACAGGGTTTCTCAACTTTGGCAATTTGAAGACATGTGGACTTCAGCTCCCAGAATTCCCCAGCCAGGGGCATTTATTTTAAAAAGTAGCAATCTATACACTACCAAAACCTTGACCTTTAACTGGGTGAAATGGTGTGTCATATTTTTGAGGCACCATTTCACCCAAGTTTTGAACTAAGGTACTTCAGTGGTACAACCTACAGAATGTGTCCCAAATCCAGGACTCATGATTCCCATGGGAATGAAAATTGGGAAAGTTGTGGCTGCTTCAGAGCTACTGGCAGCTACTGGGCTGCTGCTGCAGTCATGTGACCTTTGTTTTCAAGTGTTCCATAACAGTTTCCCAGCCAGTCTTACAATCCTTCGTTCCCTCCCGCAACCCAGCAGCCACCACTTAACTGCTTGTTGGGAAGGGAAGGGAAATGAAAGAAGATTTCTGATGTTCCCTGTCAATTTCCAAAAGGAAACTCAATAGGGAAACTGGCAAAAAGTTGGAAGTCCGTTCTGCTCCAACTGCTTTTTTGCCCACAAGTGGTTATTCTGTTTCTCTGTTTAGGTAAGCAAATATCCCTGAAATGATGACTCAGCAGGGTATCTAGTTTTCTTCTAAAGACAGAGAGTAGGGGGCCCACACAAAAAAGGTTCATAAATTGCCTAGCCTGAGAGTAATGCAAGAGAAGGTCCTTTCTGATACACCTGACAGAGGAGCCCCTGAAAATTAGGCATCTTTATAACAGCTTCCCCTGAAGATGCCCAGAAAAATTTTCAACACACAACATTGTATATATCTCCTAATTTTCTTTTTTTTTTTTTGCAAGCTAAGGAAAAGCAGGTATGATACGAGAACACACAGTTTTCTATAGCAAATAGAATTAAAGGCTCAAATCATTCCTAATCTTGAATAAATTAGTCATCATTTCTACCCAATCAGCAATCAAAGGATTGAAAGGGTGGGAAAAATATTCTGTAATGCAAGCAGTATCCTAGATGTACAGAATCAGATCTTGTCCTATTCTTCTTTATACTGAGTATGTTTATTTAAATGAGCTTCTTGGTTCATACTCCATTCTCTGGGTTATTACACAAATATTTTATGCTTTCGTCATTTTACAAATGCATTAGCTCTTAGGAAGTATAGTGGTTTTATTAGGGTTCCATACAATGGTGATAAAAAAAAAGCCACCAGAGAGATTTAAATTTTATATTTTCAGTTGCACTAATTATTCTCGAGAGAATTAATTAGGGAAACATTTTCTAGCTTTTCAACAAGTTTGTACTCACATTCAAGACTGATTTAAGAATCAGTTTGAACTGTAATTACATAGATATTCTCTTCTACCCACTCAAAAAAAATCTACTCTTATTTCTATACTTATAAACTGATGATAAGAGAGTATAGGTATCTTTTTTAAAGTTTACCTATTGACACATAAAGAAAAAGCCCATAAAGAAATATTCTCATACATTTGTCTAACGTTCTTTAAAAAAAAAAAAGACAGATAAGCATTTTGTGAATAAGATTACCATATCCATGGCCAGAATTCTTTGTGAAATATTTCATTTAAGTATGCCAGGTTAATTCAGGGTGATTCCAGCACAAAGTTCCTTGAAGTATGTATGTAAATATTTTTTTAAAAAATATCCTCCATATGGTTAATTAAGTTAAGGTAACTAAAGCAGTTGGGCAGTTCTGTTTCCAAGAAAAGCTGTGAATACTTAACTATTTCTCTGCTAAGCCAAATTCTCAGTCTAAATCATCTCTCATCTGTTATACGCCTTCATCTCCTCAGTTTCAAATTCAGTTGTACCCTTACTATACCATTAGCAGTGAAATGAAATTAATTATGGTCCTAAGGGCAAAGATGAATACTATTGATCTAATCAGTTAATGAAATTGAAAACTCTGAGCGAGGAGGCCTTTGACCATTCCAGCAGTGGTTGTCAAGGGTACCTATTCTTCTGTTCTGCTGTTCTTACTTCAGACTGAAGTGTATTCTTCTGAAGATTTGGACTCTGCTCACAGAATATATTTCTATTTCCACTTGCAATCTAGGCTATTTTCATATTTATTATTCCCACTGTTAAACGTAAAGAAACAAGCAGTAATCTAGGTTAGGATCCTAAGAGTTAAATTTTTTGACTGATAGACCTTCCTCTTCCCACTAAACTAGGATTTGGAGACAGCCCTAAAAAGAACTGCACAAAGAAATCTAAGAGTTATGTCTGAACCAAAGAGCAATCCACAGAGAGGGTTATCTGAAAATGGGCTAGAGGAAGAACAAATTAAACATTTGTTAGTAAAATCTTGTTGCTTCAGTCAACTTTCTCTGAACAAGGAATATATGTCTTCCTGCTCCTAAGAATCCAATGATCAGTTTATTTTCTTCTTATAAACTGGGGGGATGACCAGGAGAGCTATTTACCATCCAGTCATTTCCGCAGAAAATACTTTTAGGGACAATTTAAATAAAGAAGATAATTCAACATTTTTATATTAGATATAAGTTTATGATGACATCAAATATATGCATGCCTGATAAAAAGTAAATTATTTTGAAATCTGTAAAGCACATAGAAAGGAAAGAGACCTACTCTTGGTCCTTTCTTTCCCTTTCTTTCATGAGCTAATGAGGAAAACCAAGAAGCTACTTTTATTAACTCATACATAATTAAGAATCATAAAGAAAAGTTGGTTAAAAGAAACAAATATTAAAAGAAGCAATTAAAATTATAGTATAATATTAGCCTGGTTACACTGTTAAAGATTTTCAATAGAACACAAAGCACTAGTCCTACTATACAGGGATTATATGCATCATGCAATTTCTGCAAAAAGATGAGAGAGAGAGGGAGGGAGGGAAGGAGAGAGGGAGGAAGGAAGGAAAGAAAGAAAGAAAGAAAGAAAGAAAGAAAGAAAGAAAGAAAGAAAGAAAGAAAGAAAATGCCAGCACATTGTAAAGGGAAAGGGTAAAAATTGCTACCACAATGCATTATAACCATCACAAGATGAGTTTTGAGTCTGATTGCTTTTTACCTTTGCCAGCATTTTGATTAAGATTGAAACTTTCATGCAAACAAGGTTATTCTAAGTTTGTGGGCATTTTCTTATTCCCTGAACAGACTGGTTTTCAAGCCTACTGTCTTCCAGCTCTATTTTCCATCAGTTTGGCCAAAAAAAAAAAAAACCCAACAAAAAACCCTGAATACAAATCTTGCTTATGTAACATCACGATACAGAGAAGGTTTGAGGGGCTTCGCAGTACTGATAATTGCTGATAATTTCATAAAAAGATCCTCTTGGTAACACTAAGCTGTGGATTCACAGGGAATGCTGCCTGCCATCTTGATTGATAGAAGACTTTTATACCTGACTTCCAGTTTGCCATTGCAGCCACCACAGCCGCTGGAAGGCAAGCTCCATCTTCCGTGTTTGATTTTGTTGTGCTGGGGGACCCTGGAATGGGTCGAAAGTCACTCTGTAGGGGCAATGAGCAAGGAGGGGATCCCGACTTGATTGCGGGAGGGTGGCAATCCTTTTGCTTGATCTGGGGCAGCCCTCCAAACCAGCGGATGCAAGACCAGCCATAGCAATATGGCTCGACACTAGGCTGCAGACAGCCAAAGTCAAGCTTACCACCAGGCACTTCTAAAGCAGCGCAGAAGAGACTGGGTGAGATCCAATCTTCTCTCTAAGATCCTAAATTTTTTTTTCTGTAAAAGCTGCCCAAAATATCTTTCTATCCCACCCTCTAAGAATAGCGGTGACTGACTACCCAGGAGGGTTTAAAGCACTAAAAGAATAACTTTAATCTAATTGGATTTATATATTTCTGAAACTTGAGGACCAAAAGTTTTCTTATTTTCACCAAAGACCTTTGTTTTTATCTATAAAAAAAGAAATAAAATTGGAAAAAGGACTATAAAAATTTTGGACTTAAAAAATCTTAAGCGGCATTGGTGACATCTTGAGGCAAAGCTTGGTATTACAACTTGTTATTGTTATTGCCTAAAGGAGACTTGGCTTGAAGCCCAGACTACAGATAAGACTCTTTTAACTTTGATAAACACCACCTGTGAGGAGTTCAGCTGTAAAGAGAACTTCTGGGTGGCATGGCTGGCCTCCTTGAACTATGAATGTAAACCTTTATTGATTTTTAGAGCTGTATGTGGGAAATTACCTTCCTACTTTTTATCTGAGGAATATTGGTCATTATTTGAGATGATGAAATACCTTGGATTATAAAATCTGACTTGACAAATGACTTTTACTATAAAGACAACCTACAAACATGTGAAATAAATGTCCCATACCCAGCTATAAAAATATTTTCATCATCTGATTTCAAGTCCTCAACTTAACGTACCATTAAGAGAAGATGGATGGAGACCAGGAAAAGTTTCTTTCCATGTTGAAAGCAATACATGAAACCATCCTTTCAGCTTGTGACAAAATAAGATGTTACAGAAAAGAACAAGATGTCAGCTTAGATATACAAACCCAAATTCGACTACAACTAAAGAACTAACAATGCAGAAGGTAACAGAAAAAGTGGAGCAATCAAATACTAAGACAGAGTACTATATTGACCAACAAGTACAGTCAATGGAATATCCTGAAAAGGGACTGACAACACTGAAAATGGAAAAGACTTTCTATATAAATCAGAAGAAATTTGTGTGAGGGGCAGGCGCACACGCATGCACAGCTTCATTTGTGTGAGCAGTGGGTGCACACACATGCTGATCGCACAAGTGGAACTGTGAGTGACGGCACCCACCACTCACCAAGTGGGGCTACGAGCACCAGCACCTGCTGCTCATTTGAGTGGAGCAGCTAACGCCGGCACCCACCACTCACATAAGTGGGGCTCTGCAGGTGCACCAGCCTGCCACTCATGTGGCCCAGTTGCAAATAGGCCACAGCCCAGTAGTGGGCCACGGCCCCCAGGTTGGGGACCCTGATCTACAGGATACGTTCCATATATTTTGCAACTTCTTTCAGTGGGGAGAAGCATGCATTGACAAAGCATTAGTGCAAAACTATGTGAAGTCCTTCAAATATGTCATACTGCAATTTCCCAAGTTGGCTTTGTGGGGTAGAAATTCACATTTGCAGATGAATTTTGGCTCTAGCACTGTAGACCATGTTGCTATAAGAGCCGTATGAAATGTGGGAGATGTATATGCTTTATGCACAAAAGGAAAGAACTGTGTCTAAGTAGTCCCATGAATAATAGGTAATTGTGAACAGTTGCTGGAATATGCCAGATTATATGTACAGGGATATAGGGAAGCATGAAAAATTGAATTAGAACGCCAAGTGCATGAATACCACTTTTGCACTGATATATCATATATCTAGATTCAAACATAATTAAATGAACAAAAAAAATAGTTTGCAAAAATTGCATGTCTATCCTTTTAAGGAAAAAATTGATATGTTCAGATAATTGTTGGACACATAGCACTCCAAATGCAACAGTTCCTACAGTTTGGAAACTAATAGAAAGATTTTAAAAATTGGATATTCTGATTGCAAAGAGATTGATGCTATATAATTAGAATTACATCCACTCTCTATCTTGTCTGGAAAGTTCTCTTGTCTTTCATTATCGGAATGAATAGGAATTCTAGTTTGGGCACTATTTAAAAATGTAGATTACTTACACTGGGCAATATGTTAATTTCTTTCTTTTTCTTCTCCTTACTGGTCTTGAATGCTAATAATATAATTGTCCAGCATAACATGAATATAGATATAGAATAGCCTGAATTTTGCCTGAATTCTTTCTTTCTTCATATTATAAAAATAAAATTAAATTAGGAAGGCATTGTAGTTTTTTTTAAATGAAATCTTTTTATCCTACAAAGCCCACATGCACTTAAAAAATATATCCTGAGAAAAATATATACTAGAGTACGACCACACATTTCTGAATTCTGATAGGAAAGAAAAGACATAGAAAACATGAAGAAGACCCTGAGCCATCACATATTCGCAGTGACTGTTGTTCTCTGATTTAATAGAGTTCAAAAAAGTCTGTTCAGACACTTAATCAAAACAGTCTTACCTTAGTCCTACCTAGTGAAATGGAATGGGAAATTTAGCTCCTTTCTAAATTGTCATAATAGCACAAGAAAAAGAATTTGAAAGGCCTACCACTCCAGGATAAGTCCTGGCAGACAGGTACATAATTGCCTAAATGGGTAATTTCAAATAATCTTCCAGTAGTTCAGCCATTCAGTTTGACTACTGAAGAGTGCCATTGCCGCTGGTCCTTTCCTTGCTCTCGCAAAGTTTCCATTAATTTTTTTTTCTTATCTTCCACTGGTGACATTTTTCAAATATGAGTAGCGAAGAAAGGACATGAACCTAGAGAGAGATAGAGAAAAGGTGAGGGAAAGATGAGAGGCAATAGATTTTATTAGACTAACTAGTTGTTTTAAAGTAGCAAAATTTCCAGCTTGGCATTTGAAGATTTTTGCAGTTGGGATGAACACTTCATCCAGATGTTCTTAAAACAACTTTAAGTTATCTCTCAGAGATTCTTTGCAATAACTGGAAATTGAGCCATGGAACTGGACTTATTTTGTTGTTGATTTGAGAGTCCTTTTGCTGCTTACCCAAATAGCTTCTTCAATCTGAACAAGTTGGTAGGGGAATCTGAGTAGGCAGAGAGTCATTGGAATATACCAACTCCTAAAATTCTTAGAGGTATTCCCACACCAACCTCAGGGTTTCTTCCTCCAAATGCATGGCAATATGTTGATGAACGTCTACCCGGAAGACTGAGAATCTTCACTGACAGTTCTTTGCAATGTTTATTTTCCTTGAAAGACTCTTAGCTCTGCTAAAGATTAACTCCCAAGTAAGGAGGCATCTGGGCTGGGCTTTCTAAATAGGCAGCAACGGTCCTCTGAATTAGATTATTTTAGAAAAAAAGAGGTAGCCTATTTCCTGAATACAGGTTTCAGGGAAATCAGAGAAACATCAGTGTGTAAACATGATGTTGACTCTCTGTATGCTAGATAGCATTGCATAGAGAGTAGTTCAAAAACTAACAGGGAAGGCGGCGGCGGGGGAGGGGGTGAACTGACATTGAAGTGTTACAGCAAAGCTTTTATTCTGTAGGATTATTTTGCACTGAGAGGAGTCTAACTCAGTCTTGGCCTAAAATTTAGGCCAAGTTAAAGCATTTCTGTTTGACAGCACTCCCATGTGGAAGCCAGATTAGAATGTTAGAATAGCTACCACATATATTACCCCCTCAGTGCTGACCAAGGTCAAGCAATCCTGGGGTTGGGAATTAAGAACATATGGTGCCACTCTGATTCAGGGACTTTCAGGCTTACATAGAGTGCCACAAATTTTGGTGGCTTCCATATGGCCACCATAATGTGTAACTTATCTGTGAGATCTGCTGAAAGTCTGGGTAAAGAGCATTCTTGTTTTCATATTTGTGTGATCCACCATTAAGCCTACATATGGGGTTGCTGTTTTAAAAATTAAACACATGCCACCAACCCCTTAAAAAGATTACATCATCTTCCCCCTATCCTCAATTTCAATTCTATATATCTCCCACATCGTCTCCCACAGCCCTCCCTTTGAATATTTCAATCTTCCATTAATTTCCAATAACTCTTTTTTGGAGCTGCCAAAGCAGGTTCAGTTTAAGCTTTAAAATGTATTGTCGTACTTCAGAAGAAGTATTCATGCAGACTGACTCTCTTTTTATCTGAGATCGCCAATGACTACATTAATTACAACAGAAACCATCTCTAAAAAGATAAAGATTTTGTAAATTAGCAACAGTGATTTTGTTATGGATTCTACTGTCAAATCAATACCTTTGAAATAGAGAGATTTCAATGAAAATTCACCCAGGGATCTATCTTACAGAATTCTCTGACTAAATAAAGCAATAATATTTTTATACCACATATTTTAGCTGCTGATTTAATATACTCTTCTGCAGTGGTTATTTGCTTTTTGTTTTAAATAGATGAGGGTTATTGGCTGAAAGTCCTCTCCAAACCACTCTTTGATTTTCAAGGCTTCTGGAAGATTTGGGTTTTATTTGCACAAATTGTGATCCATTAAGGTGACCACCTTTTTTACAATGAAAAGGAGGACACAAATAAATTGAAGAAAAATTTTATTCATTGCAACAATAATACAGACAACTTGCATGTGCAAAGTTTGCCAGCCGGGTGTTTTGGCATGCTCAGCAGCAATTCCTATTGGCTTTCAAAAGCCAATAGTGGGAGTAGCACAGCTCATGCAAAAGTTGAAAAAAAAAACCATCAAAAAAAGGTGCCGGAACGCTGTTCTGAGCGTTCTGTGAGGGGAAAAAAAGCCCTGCAGATTAGTCTTCAAATATCAAAAAGGAGGACATGAAAGAGGACACTTTTCAAGGGAGGACAGAACTTACAAAAGGAGGACTGTCCTCCCTAAAGGAGGACGGTTGGTCACTTTAGATCCATGTCTTCAGTGGACAGTACTAAAACACTGAGGATGAATATCCACTTTTTTAAAATGATGTGTTTGTGGGTTTTTTTAAGATTTTCTAGGCCAGGGGCTCAGAATTCCTGAGTCTATGCTGACTCAGGAATTCTGAGAGTTGAAGTCCATGAGTCATAAAAGAGCCAAGGTTGCCTACCCCTGTTCTAGGCCAATAGATGCTCAGTGACAATGTGTAACTCAGTCCCTGGAGTTTGATGACAGTAAAACAGGTGTTACGATAACTAGGAATGCATGAAAAAAGATGTCTCCCACAAGTGAATATGCACTTTGCACCCTACCATCTAGGAGTCACCTCATCTTTAGCTGCTTATTGTCATGGTATCCAGTTCCTTCCAAAGTCTCAAGGTTCACATTCCCCACCACCACCATTTCCCCCCCAGGGAAGTCTTAAGCCCAATGGGGTTCATTGCTGAGCAGGAATTTTGGAGCCAAAGTTAACAGTTAGCATTTAGTCCTACATAAATATTTTCTGGGAGCTAAAATTCAGCATCCAAATAAGAAGGCTGTTCTGTAATCTCACACATGGCCAGCCTTTTCATCAGTAATTAGCGATAAGATAGCAATGTATGAAGGAGAAATGGGAAACATAAATAAAAGTTTCATAAAATTTTGCTTAACTCAAGCCTAAGTTTCTCTCAGAGTTAGCTTTTTTGCGTGAATTATAGGATCTAAACTGAATCTTAAAAGCATAATATTGCTTTCTAAAATCCTAAAATGTCAAGGTTTTAAAACTGGAAAACAATAAGAGATAAATCTAGGACAAGGACAACAGCAATCAGACACAGCAGCATAGATTCAGTTAAAATCCTGGTGTTAAACATTCGGCATTAAGCCCATTTTCGTTGAAATAATGAATTAAGGCTGCAGACTCTTTTTGCTAGAGAGGCTCCTCGTTTTTAAAAGAGGTTTGGCAAGGCAAAGTTGTTTTCTCCATGCTGGGAAGCATAGCTGAGTTTCCCTGAAAATTTCTTCAGAAACAGGACAGAAAAAAAACTTGGTGGTTTTTCTTTTTTTCAAACCCACCAAATGTAAATGTCAGCAAAGTGATGGATTGCTCCATTTCTGTTCACATTACTCACATATACAGCTTACCTACTAAAACCTGATTTCAACGTTTTCTTGTTCATAAACCTAAAAATGCACTTGTATAGTAAAAAGGCTTTCCTTTTGCACTAATGGAGGGAATGCTACTGTTAAACCTCTGAGACTTTTTAAGTTAGTTATAAAATAACATCTTTAATAGCAAGACTTCGCAGGGATGAACTTCATGACTCTGTGAGACAAGGCTGAGATCTTCTAGATAAGCATGGTTTAGCTCATACGACTTCCATATATCATTCAGGAAAGCACTCTTTGTGTGTTTATTAATTACTATAGTATTAACCCCAAATCCTGCAGCATTTCACTTTTTTTTTTAGATATATGGCATTTTTAATCTGACCACAGGGAGTGCTTGTATTAAAAATACAGTCCTCCAAGACAGTGTTTTTTTAAACTTGGCAATTTTAAGTTGTGTAGACTTCAACTCCCAGAATTTCCCAGCCAGCCCAGCTGCTCAGGGAAGATGAGTTTGTCAATACCTGTTGAAGAGAAGGTGGGAAGTCACTATATTTCCTAACTTTAGTTTTCTTTTTCTTTTCCTCTCTCTTTTTGATCTTTTTCTTTAGATTTGTCTTTTACTTTATGTGAGATCCTTAATAAGTATAAATTAAAAAAAGAAGAAAAACACTGTTCTAAGATAGGAATCCCCGACCCCCGGTGCCACACTCACTATTGGACTGTGGCCCATTAGGGACTGGGCCGCGGAAGCAATGGCTGAGCACATGCACATGCAACTCCACTTGCACAAGCAGCGGGCAAAGCTCTATTTGTGCATGTGGTAGGCACATGTGCCTGCTGCTTGCACAAATGGAACTGCACACGCACGCACATGTGCCTGCCGCTCATGCATAACCATTCCCTCTCCCTCCCCCCTCTATCAGTCCACAAAGCTGGAAAGATTGGGGATTGTTGTTCTAAGAGACCTTAAGGTACTTTAAAAGGTGAGGGAGAGGGAGAATGAGAAAGAGAGGGAGAGCGAACTTAAGGTACCCATTTGTAAAAGCTCAGCCTGGATACTTCCATTTTTTGTCCCTAACAAAATTTCCACCAGATTAGTGGAAGACTGGTATTTTTTTGAGAGGCAAGGGCTTCCCTTGTCCAGTCACAATAGAGGAGCAACAGCCTTATTGCCTTGCTGAATGGTATGCCGTTTTGTTTTCTTTGTCTGCGTACATCATTACTCTTGACTCTTTCCCCAAGCCAAGTACTGTGGAAATGAGCAGGATTCTAACCCAGAACAGAGGGGGGAAAATGAGCAGTAATGCTTTTTAAAATAGTTTCCTCAGAATTTGGTGTTCTTTCCCGTGTCTATCCTTTATGTGATCCTGTGTATTTTCTATTTTTTACTTATTTATTTATTAAATTTATTTGCCACCCATCTCGTTTTGGAGCGACTCTGGGCGGCTTGACTGTTAACTTATATTAATGCAAATACTAATACAGGTGAATTCCTTTTAATTCATTACCAAGTAGAGCAAGGTATGTGTGTATATGTATGTACCTATATATACACAGTACCTATATGTACACAAACCAAAAGAAAAAAATAACAGAAAACTGTGAGAAAAGAAAAAGGGAAAGAAAACCAAAGTTTAAAATCATGACTTCTTACCTTCTTTTCAGATAATTACATTTTTATTGTCTCTCTTCCCTCTTTAGTCTTTTTATACCTTCACTTGGGCATCATCTTTCTTCGTTTTCCAATCCATGAATCTTGTTCTTCTTCTTTCAGCAAAAAAAACCAT